GTCTGATGTAAAGACACTATATTCGTTTTCTATTGCAGCCATAAGAAATTACCACCAACCTAGCAGTTTAAAACAGTACAAATTTACTATCTTACAGCTCTGTAGGTCAAAAGTCTGGGTGGGCTTTGCTAGTTTCTCTGCTCCAAGTCTTACAAGACTGAAATAAAAGTGTCAGCTAGCATGGGCTCTCATCTGGAGGCTGGGGTGTTGTGACGGCCAGAGGGTGAGAATCCAATTCCAGGCTCATTCAGGTTCTTTGCAGAAGTAAGTTTCACCTGGTTGTTAAATGAGGACCCTGCCTCCTTGCTGACTGTTGGCTGGAAGTCATTTTCAGCTTCTAGAGGCCACCAATATTTCTTGTCATGCGGTTCCCTTCCTTCATCTTCGAAGTCCGCAATTATGGGTTGAGTCTTTTGCATGCTTTGAATTTCTCTGACGTCCTTTCTGCCTCATATCTCCTGCTCACAGCCAGAGAAAGTTCTCTGCTTTTAAGGAGACATGATTAGATTGAGCCTATGCAGATATTCTATAAGAATCTTCCTCTTTAACGTATTTTATTCTTCTGTCTGTAATATGTCTTTTTGCCATGGTCATCTTCCAGTTTTTGTTTTTCCAGCAGTTTAAAGATGATGTGGATATGTGATTTGGTGTGTGTTTGTTTTAAAAAATTCTTCAAGTATTTCTCTCTTCAAACATTTCTTCTGTTCAATTCTCTCTTTGTCTTCCGAGTTTCCAATTACATGCATGTTGCCCTCGTTCATACTACCCCTCTTGAATGCCCTACTTAAAAAAAATCTTCATTCCTTGTTCTTCTCTCTATTATTTTTTCATTTCTGATATTTCACTTTGATTCTTTCTTATTCTTTTTTATTCTTCTGAAATTATCATCTGAGTATGCATACTGTCTACCTTTTTCATAAGAGCCTTAAGCATGTTTATCATAATTATTTTAAATTCCCCATGTAATAGTTCCAACATCTGTGTCATATCAAACTCTGGTTATGTTGATTGATTTGTCTCTTGACAGTGTGTTATAATTTTTTTCTTTTGGTTCTTTGCAAATATATATTTTTTTAAAAAACTGACATTTATATAGTCATATATAGACATTATGTAGGACAGTAGACACTGAGGGAAATAGATTTAAGGCTGAAAATTTACATGCATTTTCTTTTGTTAGGCCTTTACTGTGGTAGGTTGAGACAACTGGGTCATTAGTTGAGCTGAGTTTGCATTATGTTGTTGCCGTGGCTACCCCAGTGCACCACAGGCCTCAAATTTCTGTAGCATTGTCTTGTAAAGTCAAGACTGATTTACCAGAGAGTATTTTTTTAAATGTCTGTTCTACCCTACCCTCAGCTTTGGATCTTCCCTTTGAGCCTACATCCCAAAGAACGTTTTTCTCCAACCTTTAAATGCTCCCCTCCACAGTAGACTGCTGCTACTTGTTATGCAATGATTATTAGCCGATTGATAGGGGACATTGAGGAGTCTTTTTGTTGTTCTGATTCAGCCTTATTCTTAAGGAGGCCCCATGTTCTGGGTCTTAGGAGTGGGGTCTCTTCCTCTCTGTGGAAGGTTTGTAATGGTCTGGCCAGAAGATATTCCCATCCCTCCCTTAGGAACAGAGCATGTTTCATGTTCCCTGATTCTGGCTGCAGTGGATCTTCACCTATGCCCAGGAGCAACAAGATGGTTGTTCTTCCCCTGTGGGGTTAGGCTTATGCTCCATAGGAAAGATAAAAGGATCTGGGTGGTTTTGAGAATGTCCATGGGAGGCATTCTCAGAACTCTCTTGCTGTTTCCGATCTTTTCTGTAAGTAACCATGAGGTTCGTGAAGAGCCCACAAGTAGATAAAAACTCCCTTTGTGTCCTTGATTCTCAGGGATTCTGTATTCGAATGATAGTCTACATTTCCAGGCTTTTAGGAATTCACTAAACATTTTAACCAAATTTATCTTACTAGCTTCTATAGCATCCAGTGGCATCTCTCTTTGGATATGGTTGTTTGATTTCCTTTTTCTCTGCAACTTTAGCTCTTTGATGAGTTTTAGAAACATTACAAATTTGAAGACTGTTTGGAGGTTGTTTTGTTTTCTTTTTTGTTTGTTGCAAAGGTGGAAGTAATGTTTACATCCTAAATGGAAACCAGAAGTTCAATGTTTTACGAAAGTTTTAGGACACCTTCATAATATATTCCTGTTTTAAAACTGCAGGTATGCCTTACTCCTTTTATTAGTTTTCCCAATGTATACATTACAGGATATTTATCACGTGGTAAAATTGTCCTGGATAAAATACTGTTGCTTATCCTTCTGGTTAAGTATATCCTCAAAGTACATTCACTCTAATGAAGCAAGGCAGAAAGGAAATACTTGTTCCAACTGTTGCTTTGTTTCTCCTCACTCACTTTATCTCTTCTTTGTTCTCCTTCTCATTTCTTGGTCAACTTATTATTTTTAGCACTAGCCACATATTTCTCAATTTGGACAATTTTTTAAATAATAAATGTATTTCTTTTCTTCACCAGCAGGTGAGGACTTACAATCAAACTCATTGTCTTATATTCAGAATATAGTCCATTAGGGATGAGTTCCAACTCTGCGCTTGTTTTAGTTAATCTGTCAACAACATTTGATAGTGTCCACTTTCTATTTCATAAGATACACATGTTTTTCCTTATGGATTCCAAAACTCTATTGTCTTTTCTCTTACCTCATGAGCTACTTCTCAGTGTCGCTGGTTTTGTCATTTTCCTCCAGCTCTAAATATCAAGAATCTCCAAGGATTAAAACCAGATGCTTTATCTTTACCATATATCAATCCATGAATAACTGACTTAGACTATTTTAATGATAGAGTCCACAAGTAATAATAAACAGGTACACTAAGTACCTCACAATTTCCCTGCACCAGGAGCTGAGCTGTAAGCAGGGGAGCCAGGGTCAAATTTAAGGTTTGATTCTCCCTTAGCAAGTAGTTTAACATCTCTGGATTCAAGTTTCCTCATTTGTCTGGTTTTCCTCCTTTCTCACTGGCTGCTGTTAAGTCTCCTTTGCTGATTCATACTCATTTTACCAGTCTCTTAAATTGGAGTGTCCCAGGACTGAGTTCCTGGATCTCTTCTATCTGCTCTCCCTCCCTTGGTGATCTCATCTAGTCTTATGACTTTAAATACGGTCTGAATACCAACAAGTTCCAAATTTATATCTCTAGCCCTGACCACTCCCTTCAACTTCAGATCCATTTATCCAACTCCCTACTTAATATCTCTATTTGGTTTTCTAATAGACATGCAAGTTTCGCCTGTTCAAAACCTAGCTTCTAAATGCCTCTACCCCATATTTTCCTGTCCTGTAGTCTTTCCCAACTCAACTGAAGACAACTCTATCTTTCCATTACTCGGGTCAATAAAACTGGAGACATCTGTAGCTCCTCATAAATTTCTCTTTTGATTCATCGACAAGATTTTTAGCTCTGCTTTCAAGTTTTATCAAGAAATTTTTTCTCTATTTTTCTTACTCAAATTATCGTCCACCTTGATTGAAACTACCACCATCTCTTACTTGGATTATTGCTATAGTTTCCTAAATAGTCTCCCTGTTTTTGGCTCTTAGAATATTCTCAACACAGCACCCAAAGTAATTCTGTAAAAATATAAATCAGATTTTAATCATTTCTCTGCTCAAAAATCTCTAATAACTTACCATCACAGAATAAAAGCCAAATTCCCTCAATGTCCTCTAAGACCCTATCCATCTGGCCCAGCTATCTCTAGCTTCACCTCTTCCTGTTTTCTCCACACTCATCTTCCTATAGCCACAGTAACCAGGCATGTTCCTTTCTCTGGGTCTTTGCACTTGGTGTTCCTTCTGACTAGAATGTTCTTCCTCCAAATGTCTGAATGGTGCATTATGATCATTATCTGTTTCACTTCCTTCAGGGCTTTATTCTAAAATGAAGCCGCCTCCCCTCTATCAAAAACTGTGCCCCTTCCCACCCTGACTCCTCCTGGTTCCTTGCTTTACTTTCCTCAGCATTTATCACAACCTGTACTTGTTGGGTTAGGCTTGATTGTGTCTCAGCAACAAACCCCCAACTCTCAAAGGCTTAAAAACACAGAAACATCTATTTTTTGCTCAATCACATGTTTACCAGGGCCTCTGTTTGTAGTTTCTCAAGACCCAGACTCCATCTGATCAATTGCTTCCTTGCAGGACAGGAAGAACAGAGTTGGAGGGTCTGGCACCAACAACTTAATGAATTGACCTGGAAGTGGCTTATGTCCCTTTTGTGCACAATCTGCCGGTGAGAATTAGTTACATGATTGTGACTAATTTCAAGAGATGGAGACATATAATTTTCATGTGGTCAGAATAATAGGGGAATCAGATATCAAGAAACAGAGGCAGTGTCTGCCCCATCATTTGACATGCCATATATTTTGTGTGTGTGTGTGTGTGTGTGTGTGTGTGTGTTGTTTTTCTGTTTTTTTGAGACAGAGTCTGAGTCTTGCTCTCGCCCAGGCTAGAGTGCAGTGGTGAGATCTCAGCTTACTGCAGACTCCACCTCCCGGGTTCAAGCAATTCTCCCTGCCTCAGCCTCCCGAGTAGCTGGGATTACAGGTGTCTGCCACCGTGCCTGGTTAATTTTTGTATTTTTGTAGAGACGGGGTTTCACCACGTTGGGCAGGCTGGTCTCGCACTCCTGACCCCAGGTGATCTGCCCACCTCGACCTCCGAAAATGCTGGGATTACAGGCGTGAGCCCCCGCGCCTGGCCTGACATACCATATGTTTTACTTATTATTTCTTTATTTATCTCTTCTCACTAGAATGTAAACTCAATGAAAGTACGGCTTTTTGTTTGTTTTTATTCACTGTTTGTTTTGTTCCAGCTTATGGCAGAGAGCTTTGCATATTCTAGGTGCTCAATAAATATTTGTTAAATAAATGAGTGACTGGATTTTTATAATGATTTTAAGAAGAAGAAATACCAACTTTCCTTGCAGATTTGTAGATAGATGCAAAAGATTCCATGTGTAAAGTATTGTTAATACTATTACTTCTTGTTGTATGGTAGAATTCTAATTAGAAGACATCTGTGAAATGGGAGATATATAAATATTATCCAAACAATGGAGGATACAGGCAGAGAATAATCTAATTTAAAATCTTATGAAGAAGAGAAACGCATAAGTAAAGCATCTAATATGGCTGCCACTGTATTTAATAGTTGCTACATGCGTGGAAATCATCCAATATCATTTACAGGGCAAAAAAATAGTCCCAGTGAACATGTTGTAAAGGGAAACTGAATCAGCACAGACATTTGCGACAGTAAAGTTCATCTTCACTTGTTAAAAAGTCCATCCAGCCCTGTGCCTTGCCCTGCTCTGATGATGCTGTTGAGACACCCGTCTGACATGCATGGAGTATCGTACTTGGATCTCTAGCAGGGACAGGACCACGTTCTTTTCTTGGATCCAAGCCCCTCATGCTAGAAATATGCAGCTGGGATTTTCAATATCAAAACTTCCACTTCTGCCTGATGACACACGTGCTGAGTGCTCTGTGTGGTCATGGAATGCCTCTGCTGATTTTATGAGAAGAGACATGTCTTACTTTCCCTGCCCAATCCCTTGCCAGTTGAGCTTTATGATTCTGTATAAAGAAAAAAAAGTCAAAATTTAAAACATTAAAGGGATGACAAACACGTTTACGTTTGCCCTGGGCTTGGTGGTAACGTGCTGTTTCTTGATAATAATGAGAGCTGCTAATAGGCATTTTCCATGTGTGCTTTTATGTCTTGCGGATTTATGTGACAGTTTATCTGGTGCTTTAGTTGGGGCCCAGAATTGTAGAGGAAAAGCGTTCACCACCCCATTAGTAATAATGCAGATCAACTAATCCATTGCCACTCAAACAAGATTTTCATGCTAATTATCCACCAAGATCATCCACGTGTGATGTAAAGGTCTGTGGAACTGTTTGGATCTAGGTTGGTCTCATTCCACATGTTTTTGAAGGGCATGGCTGAGACTTATATTGTAAAGTACCTGTCATTCTTAACATAGTCAGTTTATTACTACTTTATTTAAATAAATTATAACAGCGAAGGATAGAGGAAATGGATAAGGAATGAGGAGAGGCTTCCAGAGAATGGCTATTTTAAAAATAAATGTATGAAGGAAGGGCATGTAAGTGACAATAAGCCTTAAATTGATATTTCGTGACTGATAGTGAGCCAGTGAAATTCTATCCAAAGGGTAATTCCAAGATTTCATGACTCCCAGCCTTCTTTGTCCTTTTTATAATTTTACCAGAAGAAAAAATTGAAGTTGTTGTCTTTTTGGTCTGAAGTTAATGCTTCCTGTTTGTATTGCTGATTCCAAGTTTTGGGTTATTACGCCACATTAGAAAATAGCAATATGTCTTTCATATGACCACTGAATTATTTCTAAGTAATTAAAAGATATATAAATTAATAATAATTAAAAGGTAACTATCTCATGTATATTTCTAAATGCTGTGTTTGAGAAGAGTTGTTCTGATGAGCACCAGAAATGTAGTGCTAGAGGTCACTGTATCTGGACCTTTGTTAAATGTACTAGTATTTGGGAGGGAGAAAGACAGTTCATCCTAAGAGCTAATCTACAGTCTGGCCCCAAGAGGGAGGGAGAATAGTTACAATGACTCTTAAGTTCTTCCCAACTCTGAGTTTCCAAGTATCTATGAGCATGATCCTTTCTTTTTAATCAAACTGGTCTATTTGCTTTTTTTAAAATTTTGTACAGGGTTTGCAGTTCAATATGGGCTTCTTGCTGCTACCATTTTTTACCTGAAACATTCTTTCAAGTCCTGCCTTTTATTTGACTCTTATTTTCAAAGTTAAGCTGAAGTCTCACCTTCTCCATGAACCTTTACCTAGAGAATAATATCCACTCCCTCTGAATTCAAGAAATGTAAAGCATTGCTTTGTATGACAATCGTCTGTCTAACTGTCTGGTAATCTCTTTGAGATCAGAAAAATGGTGTTTCTTTCTCTGAGAAGTGTTCCCAACAGTATCTTCTTACATGCCCCAGAAGAATCCTTGTTTTCCTTTGTAAATGTAATTTTTTGCATATAGCTCTTATCATGTGTCAAAGTTAACTCTTGGAGATCAGAATCCCTCACTACTGAGGTGTGCTGTAGTATCTTACTCATTTTTGCGTACACACTATTTAGCCTGTGCCTATGACATTATTTAGTGATCATCTATTTTTCCTTCATTTATGAGTATAGCCTTATTCTGACATTTATTCTGTGAGCATTAAGGAGTTACGTGCTGTTTTTGTCCAGCAGGGGAAGAGGAAAGAGATAACATAATAAAGTAGTATTGTACAGTGATTAACCCGGAAATAGTGGGAAGGGTGGACTGGAAAGGTAATGAGGTTGTTAATTATAAAAATAGATAAGACTGGCTGGTCTTCTCAGGCCAAGCCTATGGATATTATGTAGGCACAGGAGACAAAGTTGCATAGTGTTTGAAGCCCAGAAATGCATTTACCCAAAAAGGAATGAGTCCTTCCTACATGGGTTTGAAAGAAGTATATTTGAAAAGTGAAAAGAATCCAAGATGACATCGAGAGGATGCAGGATGAAGTTTTAGAAGCTAGAAATGCAAAGAGAGAGTCAGAGTGGGTAAAATAGAGCAAGTAAACAGCTCAGGGGAGCTAGGTGGAATTTTATAGAAATAAAAGGAAAGATGGTATAGAAACTTCATCTAGAATACATAAAAGAGAAACAAGCAGTTCCAAGTTGAGATGATTTTGTATTTATGTCCTCAGTGTCTTAGTACTTTGCTGATGAGCCTCTCTCTAAAAATACTTTTCTTTTTTTAATGTATCTTATTTACAATTCTTTCTTTTATTTATGAAAATGTTGAACACTTCACAAATTTGTGTGTAATGCTTGCGCAAGAGCCATGCTAATCTTCTCTGTATACTTTCAACTTTAGTATACGTGCTGCCGAAGCCAGCACAACAATTTTCTTAAATTATAAAATACCTATTTATTTCTTTTAATTTAAATGAAATATAGATATTTTGTGTACATATTAGTAAATCAAATAGCATATTCCATGGTGTTTTTGTACCAAATTACAATTAGAGTGTTTAATTTTTTTCTAGTACAAAAGATGCAGTATATAGTACATATACAAGGCGAACATCATTTTCTTATTATTTAATTATTTTTAATTAACAAAAATCCTATGTGTTTATGGTATATAACATGATGTTTTGAAATATGTATACATTGTAGAATGGCTAAATCAAGCTAATTAACCAAGCTAATTGCTTCACATGACGTTTTTTGTATCTTAAAGTCTACTTTTAGCAATTTTCAAGTGTACTTGAATTGTTATTAACTATATTGTTATTAACTATAGTCACTATATTGTACAGTAGGTATCGTGAACTTAAAATGTTTCTTGAGATGAATTGATCTGGAAGGGAGACAGTTTTGGCCAAAATTTAAGGGATTATTTGTAGACAAGAGATAAAAATGTCTTTTCCCCTTAGAGATCAGAATACTAGCAGGAGGAGCTGGGATTTTCTTCAACTGTGTACAAATGGGGTGAACTGGAGTTAATAAACAGTGATCTTGTTGGGTGGGGCTAAGAAAGAAGGTGAGATAGGAATTGCTAGAAAACATTGACTTATTTGCAACTCATTGCAAGTAATTTAAATGAAATGAAACCATAACCTATATATGATTTGTCCTTAAGAATGTCTTCTGTTATAATAAAATTTTGGGCTCAGGATGACCTGCACCAAAGTGGTCAAGGAGAAGGAAAAGAAGAAAACTCACTTTTTAATTAGAAGTTTAGTCTTTCAGAAGAGAACCACTGCTCCAAGTCCTCAGGATGGTAATGAAACAAAGTCATAGGCATCCTTGCATTTGGACTTCTCCGTGTTTTATGCAGGTTTTGGATGAAGGTGTATATAAAACCTGACTCCTCAAGTGTGACTTGGGTGCCTGGGACTGTGACACATCACAGATGGAAGAAAAGCAAACTGGTTTTGAGGAAGATAATGATGGTTGGAGCCTGACCGCATCAACGGAAGTGTCAGTGGCTCTCAAAGCCTGTAGGGCTGGAGCCAAACGAGTATTCAGAAATAGAGGTTCAGATATCAGAATCAGCTAAGCTACTTATAGTTAGCAGCTAAGTTATGATTGAAGCCTTAACTGTAAAGGAGTTCCCTAAAGGAGCAAAAGACAGAACCTTTGTGAATTGCCATGTTTTGAGGGCCAGAGGAGGAAGAGAAGTAATGGAGAGAGATGGAGATTTCATGGAAAATGAGAATTAGGATACCACTGTGTCACAGAGTAAAATCAAGGTGTAGGGAGAGGTGGAGCAAAGGGTGCTCACACACATGCATACACAAGTAAGGGAAGTATATTAGGTTGGTCAGAGGTCTGCAATGCTACACAGAAGTTATGGGAAATGAGAACTTCAAACAAATGTCTGAAACATGGGATTCTCCAATCTGCACTAGACTTATCTCAGATATTTTTAGAATCATTAAAACCATTGGCATTATTCTAATGCTGGTGTGCGAAATCATAGATACTTTGTTACTCTCCTGTGAGCAATTAATGTCGCAGATGAATGTTACGAATTAGTTCACATTGTTCTTTAGAGAAGTTTTGGGTGCATCTTATCCTCAGTTGACTTTAGTGTGCTGGGATTAATGTAATGTTCCCTAGGCACGTGGCCTCAGCCCCATAAAACAGGTTGTCACGTTACCATGAATGACTATTATGAGATGCCTGGATGAGGACGGACACCACAGAGATCAAGTACATGCATATGATAATTAGAGCCCTTAGAAATAACTCTCCACTCAGAAGAAATATTTCCTTGTGGAAATGATATGAAATGCCATTAGATATTTACAATCATATTAATTTTTAAAAGAGAGTAGATGAAAAGAGTGTTTGACCAGAAAGAGATGTTGATAGTCTACACCTTATATAATATCATGTAGAATGAATTATCACAGATATCAACACCTCAACATTCATCTTTACTTTTCCTCAGTCTGAATTTTCCTTCTTCCCATTCTCTGTACAAGTCCTTCTTGACATTCAAAACCCAGATCAGATGCCACTTCTTCTGTGATACCATTCCTGACTCACCCACTTCTAACTAGTCAATGCTCCTCTGAATTACCTCTGCATGTAGCTCCCACCTCTATGTAGAATTTGTTGAGCGCATTGAGTAATAACTCTTACAAGTCTACATCCTCCAGTACAGTACAGTTTATTTGAAGAGATGCATTGCTTATTATAGTATTAATTCCTATCAAGCATAATATTTTCCATTTAAAAAAATTATTGTATGTGTTTGTTCATTCATTCAAAACATGTTAATTGAATATCCTTTCTCTGCCAGGCACTGCGCTAGGGACAGTATCCTTATATAGCTTATAGTCTGCATATAAACAACATCTATATAGAGTGAATTTTTGGTTGAAAGACAAGGAATGTTAAAAATTCAAAGTACACTGAAATCAAAAAGAACCCATGGATGAAGTCGGATCAAAGACAACCATTACTGAGCTGCACAGTTCAGGAACTGCTTTTCACAGTCTATTTCACTTAATCTTCCCATCAA